ACAGTTTTCATGTATCAGCTCTTACACGAGAAGTTCATGGGCTGGAGTAAATGATCTGTTCTTGTCTTACATGGCCAAATCCTTTTTCGTAACCTCCAGTTCTACTGAGATCACCAGTACTCAAAACAGAGCAGAATCACTCCTTAACTGGTCCTACCGTTTAACTCTCACTATGCGTCGAAGCAAAGGCTGTAGTACCCAGTTCAACCACCATTCTTGCTCCTTTTTTTAGAACAACTATATTCATGCCGTACAACAACACTGACCTGACTGAGGCAAGGTAAAGTCGAATTTTTGTGAAATGAGGAATTCGCTTCTCTGACGAAACACTGGACAGGTTTCCAAAAGCAACTGAGGCTATGGCGATCCTCCTAATTAATTCTGGCTCGAAGGTGGTTTCGCCAGAGATGATGGAGCTGAGAAACTTAAATTGGTCAACCTCCTGATGCGCTTTTCCTCCCCGTTCCACCTGTAAATCAGCGGTCACTGTACATCTGGACAAGTGCTCTTACCTACGCACGCAGTCTGGTCGTCATTCGCCGGCGCATAGCCTTCGAAACATTCGCAGAAGTATCCGCCGTTGATGTTCACGCACGAACCTTTGCTGCCGCACGGATTGCCCCCTCCATCGACGCACTCGTTGATGTCTGAACGAAACGAAGGAGAGGAACCAGGGAAGACGGGTGCCAAATACCATCCTACCTACACACAGCTTATTGTTGTCGCCGGATGGGTGCCGATAGCCCGGTTTGCAGTTACATGCGTAATCGCCCGGAAGGTCCTGGCAGGTAGACGTCGCTGGGTCACAGGTGTTTTTTGTTGGTATCGAGCACTCGTCCACATCTGTGTTAAAAAAAAAACGTTTAGCGAATAACCTATGAAATGCGGCTATCTACTTGGACAGCTGTTCGCCATGCCTTTGGGCGAATCACCATCCCAGCCCGGCTGGCAAATGCATCGATAACCGCCGTCCAAATTCATGCACGAAGCATGCACATCACAGGCACGGTCCATTTCCGCACATTCGTTAATATCTACAAAAAAACTTCAGCATGTACAGCCTCTAAAACCGCTGTCGAAAAAGTTACCTGCGCATTGGAAGCCGTTTCCTCGATATCCTCGTTTGCAGCTGCAGTTATAACCTCCCACTAGGTTGACGCAAGCAGCCCTTGGACTACACGGCGACGGATCACTTGCACATTCGTCGATGTCTTAAACACGTTTCTCATGTACTGTTTAAATACAGGATTGAAGTACACAGGAAAGAGCAAAATTTAAAGTGCCAAAATCATTGACCGCTGTTAAGAAATTGATGTTTATTAATATTTATGAATTCCGCATTTTTGCTTCATAAAAGAAGCCGTCTAAAACAGTGGCCATTAGCACGAAGCAGACTGATATCAAAAATTTTATTTGGATGGTGTCGTTTTAAAGAGCAGCGGTATTTTCTATCCTAGTTGCGCACACATGCCATAGACATGTCTATGCTCTGCTGACAAAAATATGGTTTGTTTTAACTTGTCGGCTTCTGAATAAGGTCTTTCGGCTTCATGCTTCATTTTGGTTAATTCTTTTAGGCGGAGGCGGACATTTGGCTCCTGATGAATTCACTCTTCCAATGAAAAGAGAGAGGAAAATTTGAGTGTAGCTGTTCCGTTCTGGGTTTGGGTTGTGAATGTGTCAAAGCTTGCTTTTCCGCAACCCAAACTGAGAAATATGGAGGTAGCATAACTCAGATTTTTTCTTCGTTTGTAGGAAGAGTAGATCAATCAAGAGACAGTTGCTTGTCTAGCGGAATTCACAGGAAAATGACATTGCAAATTTAGGAAGAAAGCGTGATAGGGGGACTTAACTGTTGAAGCGGTGCTAAACCACTGTTTAGCCCGCTCTCCACCCAAGAGAGTCACCTACTGTGATCGGGTGAATACTCAATACCTTCACACTGGCTAAATACTCAATTAAATGACCTTCATTGTATTCACATTTTCCGGTTTTGCTTCAATAAATAACGTAGAAAATATTGACTTCAAATAATGCTCTATCAATATTACGTTTCATGTTCTCAAATAAAATGGTTTTTCGTTTTAGTGCAGAAAGCTTTTGCTTGGTCAGCAGAAGCATCGTTAAGAAGGCGAATTGGTCATTACTGCCTGAGTGCCAATGCAAATCTCATGTTTCTTATGTACAGAGCATCAGAGAGCAGTTCCTGAACAGCTTACTGTAGCCGTTAGCATGATACGCAATTCTTCGGTATTCTGGTAATCGAAGATGTCTGCACCACGCCGAATCCAAGTACTCTTCCTTCAGTTAGTTATCATCGAAAGAAGGGCATGGACACGTTTCCTCATATCATCCCATATTGAAAGCCTTTTTGATAATCAGTATTCGATCAACTTAAAAATCAGAGTTGTTTAATTACCAGAGTTAAACCGCCATAGTGATTGGGGATCAAATTATCATTTGAAAAAAACCCTGATTGCAGAGATATTCGTTACTGATCTACGTTTAAAAATATACCCCATGATTTTCCTCTGCCTCTTGTAAGATCTAGAAAAACGGATGGAAAAGCTCGTTTGCGGTCACAATCGCAATGAGGTCAACTTCGAACTCTGGAGGTGCAGAGTTCAAATCAGGAGGAAAAATGGTGTTGATAATAACCGTGAATTCTTTTGAACGTGGAATTTAAATCAGATTTCCTTCACGCAATCAGCCAAGTAACGGACAACAAGTCGTTGACTTGCGAATAACAGAAGGAACGGTTTTCTCGTGTGATCTCATCAGAATGGACTAGGGGTTTCGCCATTCTGTCTGCGTACTTCGCATTCACCAACCTGATGGCTGGCTTCCACTGTAACAATCAATGAAAGGTATGATCCCGATAACAGTTAACATACAATCTAATGTTTTACTATGCAAAGCTTCCAAAATACCGGTCATTTTGGAATCCATGGCAATCACGAACAGCATTCAGCACCGCGAGCACAGGCACAACTATGAACCAAATCTAAAAACGACTGGTCAACATTTATCAGCTTGCTTAATTGTTCCCGTCTAGCATTGTAAATGCAAATGAGGCAAATCCCTTCATTATCGGATCATAGAGAAAACATACATCTGTTCCAAAATTGCATTGTACGGGATAATATGCTGCTACTTCCAGATATGCTACTGCTCAGCTTCTTGTAGAAGTCACTGTGCTGGGGTATGTGAGCATCTAGAAGCTTATTGTATAATTTTATTGTCTGGGAAGATAAATGTTAGCCATTAAGAATGTTTTGTGAACCAGTAAAAGATATACATCCAAATGTCACCGGTATTCGTTCATCATGTTAGAGTACGGTAATAAGCAAACAACTTCTCCAGAACCAAATTTCACATCGCATTGAACTAGCCATAGCTGTTTGAAGAATTTGAGTTAATCACAGATCCGAGGTTAAATTCGATTTTAGAAAACGTAAACGCTGATTAACATGTTCCAATATGTTTACTCATAATACTGATATTTTGCGAAGGCATAAATTGACTATCAGCTCCTGAAGTATCATTGATATGGAGTAAAGTATTTCATTATCAAGTCAACCGATGGGAAGTGCATTTGGCATCACAGGCGTGCAATTACTAAGGAATTGTGGCTTTCTCAAATGTTCTTTGCCTCCAAGCAACTTTGAGCATATTGGTGCAATGCTCCGTGAAATACGGTCTTATAACAGTTAAGCATTTTCAAGAATATTGCATTCTAAAAGCACGTATAGTTTATCACCCACAGTACATATGAACACCGGCTGTTGAAAATTTGTGTTGATCACACACTGCGTTCTTCGGAACGATTAGTAAAGGTTTACCCACGCAAGCGATTGGTACTTGATGTGCTGATGTAGTAGTATTTAAGGAATACCTGTTCCTGAAACATCGTTCGTTATGAACGTGAGGTGACACTAGAGAATAGAGCAATGCGATATGTATAGAAATTCGCTTTGAATGACTAGTAGCCAAACACGGGGCAATACACCGAAGAGTCTGGACTTCGAGGATTCATGTATTTATAACCAGAAGAGCGCACATTTAAGTCGTGAAGGATCCCCGTATAGCTGTCATGATGGTTATACCATTTGGCCAAAACGTTGACAACATGGTGACTTCGACATCTGTTACCTGCGTCTGTCTAAATCGGTCCAGTAATAACAACGTACACATTAATTATAACAGTTGCATTTCTGAAATTCTTAAAGTTAGGCGCTTTAGAAAGAAGAAAGTTGTAGGTTTTAGAACATTGAACATTGCGTCAATTATTTTTCTACATTTCGGTTATTATCACCTTAGATGAGCTGTAGATAATATCATTACATGTAATGATGAAAGTAATTAGTATAAAACAGACTCTTACCGACACAGTTCTTTCCATCTCCGGTATAATTTGTGAAACATGTGCATCGATTTTTCCGGCAGTAAGCATTGGCAGAGCAGACCAACCTGTACTTTGGGTCTGTCGATTCACACCGATCGATGGGAACGCATTCATCTGATTCGCCTTCCTCAAAGCCGATCATGCATTCGCACCTTAAAACATATCTTACGGGGACATGGACATACTGGAAACATCAAAGGAACACTTTCAATGATCACAATGTCATACGTTGTAAATTTATGGCCATGCTATAAAGCATACACAACAAAGTATGAATTTCTCGGAAGGCCATAATTGATCATGTTGTTCCCACTTTAAAATACGGTCAAGAATTTAAATGAAAAATGCTGTAGCCACTGATTACATAAAGTAGAAGTGGTCGAGTAATTACTGTATATTTCTAGTAACAATAATAATTAGAATAAACTTTTGAACAGACGCATTAAATCGAATGAAGTTGAAGTTTTCGCTACTATTGTATTCTGTGATTGGCAGAGATTGAACAGCAGAGTAGTCTGATTTCTTATCTTCTTGTGCCTTAGCATAATACTACATGCACTGCCGCGGAAAGGTGATGTTCAAGAGCCAAGCCTGGCTGCCTCAATGAGGAATTTTGAGGTTTCGTACATTCTTGCAGCATGTCTGTGATCAATGGGTGGTGCTGTCACAAAAATGGTTCCTGCACACTTTCATTCTGCTTTTAGGCGAGTCCCATAAATCCAAGCTGGGTTTACGATCTTAAAGTTTTCCTGAAGCTTTTTCTGACCAGTAGTAAACAATCTCTGACTGTTCATGAGCCGGGGATACCATTGAGCTTCGAAAAGTCTTTGCAGGCAGCGTCACTTAAAGTTGCCGTGACTAGCTTGGTCTGCAAAGTTTCCTTCATTCTGTAAAATAGAAGCATGGAGGCTTCTTGCCTCAATTTATACACTAGAATTATCCGCCGTCACCTTGCTTGCACTCGCCTATGGGATGATTTAAATAGGCAACGGCTTCATAGTATTTAAGCACCCGTAGTACCTCAGGTGCAAGACCTCATTTCTGAGTTGGGCTAAACAAGAAAATGCTCAATTATCAACAAAATTTGGCTTAACATCAGGGTAACTGCTACATATAGGAGAGTTTCAATTTCTCCAACATGTATGTCATTTCGAGTTAAAATATCAGATAGCTTTAGTGCCCTCTGTTCTCAGTAGTATAATATGGGCTGTTCTGTGCTCCAGATCTAACGATGTTGCAAGTTCCTGTCCAAAAAACGCAATGCTGTTCTTTGGCTGACAGTTATGTGATAAGTTTTAAAAAATGATAGATGCAATAACCGTTGCCGTAGTGTCCAAAAATGCCACATTTAAATACATAACTTATTCTACACGCATCACAATACAATGGAAAATAATGAGGAATTATCGATAGCAAGTCTGAGGGAAGTCGTACTTGTAGGACCCGACGGTGTTTATGCATACGGCGTACTTGGCGCACGTAGCGACGGCGCTAGCACATTCGTCGATGTCCATGCATCGCTGGTCAACGAATTCATAACCTGGTGGACAGTCGCATTCGTATCCAGCGATGACGTTGATGCACTTTCCCGGACTGCATGGCTGGTGCAGCATGTCGCAGTACAGAAGCATTTTGCACTTTTCCTGAGGGGGATCGCCGACGAAGCCACTCTGACAGAAGCAGGTCGTCGAGTTCATGCCAGAGGCGCTTCCAAGATCTTTGCAGTACGCATCTGGGCCACAGTCTATGTTCTTGCAGCTTGGGATTTCTATATCAGAGTCATTATGCGCATCTAGCATTACACAGGTAACCGATCATTTGTAACAGAACACAGGTTAAATGCCAATGTTAATTAAAGGTAATACTATTTCTTGAGCTATGCCTCAAACAGCACGAGTGAACAGCGTAGCATAGCGCTACTACGTTTAATATATGTGTGAAAACAAACGATTAAGGCATATAAATAGAATCATCACGGTGTGGAAATAGAACTTTGCTTGATGGAATACTTGAAGGAGGAGAGTCGAATGTTACTTACTGCTTTTGCATGCTCGTGTCATGAGCAAATGAGGAAAGGAAAGTAGGAGAGAATAGCAGCTAATGCTGAATGAGTTAAACTTGATCGATTTGTACTAGGTTAAAAGAAATTCTGGCAATGAGGCATATAATATCCTTAATATCCAGCTGATCAGCTGAAGGTATTGCAAAAGAGAAATAGAATTTGACAAAATCGTTAGACAGTGGATTTGACTGAATCATTTTAATGTCCAGCCCATCCTTTTGGAATGTGGACAAAGCTTCCGCTTTATCCACCGTCATAGATTGTGAGACCTGGGGGTGGGCCATAAGGGTTGAAGTGGTTGGGAAACTAGAATTGTTTTGTTATGTTTGATCACAAATCATTTCAAGGATACGATTTATCGACCATCCATACTATGCCACAAGCCATGTTTGCTGCACAGTCATCCAGCTCTCTACTGTCCTGAAAGAACTGCGTCTGCGTTGGCTCAAGTACGTGCTGAGATGTTCACATCATATATTTCCTCCATTGCGCTGAATACCACCTTGTTCTTTGAATCCCTAAATGGCACCGCATAAGGGGCGGAAGTGGAGAGGTTGAGACCTAATGGGAAATTATAAAATGGATAG